TATGTGTCTGTGTTTCACAGGCCACTGTTCATTGGTCTCTACCAGTAATCATAAAACCATAGGGGTTAGCAGTAAATCACAGCATCTGCCTCTTCCTCAGCACCTGCTGTGTTAACCTGCTGACATACTCAGTTTCTGAAAATCTTTGCTTGTTTCTTGTAGCGGACTTACCTGTCTGGTTCGGTTTATTCTAGGTATGTGTGCATACATGTGTGCATGCACGCCTGTGTGTGTGTGAAGCTATTGCAAAAGGGATAATTTCTCTGATTTCATTCTCAGCAAGTTCATTATTGGTATATAGAAAACCTGCTGACACCCGCACACAACCCACTCTGGTGTATTCATGTGGCCTTCCTCCCCGCTTGGTGTGTACATGTGACCTCTCTCTCTTCCTGTGGTTTGTGTATGTGTATCTGTGTGTGCAAGTACACATGTATGTGTGTGTATATGTGTGAGGACAGAAATTGTTGTATGGTGTTACCCACTCAGATGTGTACCCAGCAGCAAAGCTACTCATTTCTGTGTGTTGATTTTGTATTCTGTTACATGGCTGAAAGTAACATCAAGTCTGAGAGTTCCCTGATGGAGTCTTGAGGGTCTTTTAAGGATAGGACCGTGCCATTTGCAAATAGGGATGATTTGACGCCTTTCCTTCCTGTTTTCTTCTTGTTGTATGTTCTCAGACTTTGATCATTATTCCAAGTAAGAGCAGTGAGAGCTGGCTCCATTGTCTCCTGATTTGAGGTGCCAGTGCTTTTCGGTTTTCCTGTATAATATGTTTGCTATAGACTGAGATGTGTTACTTCTATTCCCAGGTTCCTCAGGGCTTTTATCATGAAGGGGTGTTAAAAATTTGTCAAAGGCCTTTTTTGCATCTATTTGAGATGGTTGTGAGATTTCTTTCTTTACATGTGATTTGCACATGTTGGGCAGCTGATTTGCACATGTTGGGCAGCCTTCCATCCGTGAATGAAACAAACTTGGCCATGGTGTATGATCTTCTTAATGTGCTCTTAAATTCAATTTTCAGATATCTTACTGGGGATTTTTATGTTTATTGGTAGAAATAGTCTGTGCATTGCCATTTTAGTCTCCATTTCACCAATTTCTTATCTTCACAGTTTGGTTCTACCCACTGCTCTTGAGTTTGACTTGCTCTTCCTTTTCTAAGATCTTGCTGTGCTTGATTAGGCCATTTAAAATCCTTCTGTAGGGTTTTTTTTTTTTTTTAAGTGCTCATGGATATGAACTTTCCTTTAGAAACTAGGACTTAGTTGTTTCCCATAGGTTCTGTTAACTTATGCATTTATTTTCATTTGACTGTAGGAACTGTGTAATTTCTTCAATAACAGTGATCATTCAAGAGTGTACGGTTGGGACTCCTGGTACTTTTGTGGTTTTTATATTTTATTATTGAATTCTGGTTTATTCCAATATGCTCAGAAAAGGTACATGAAGTTATTTTGATCCTTTTGTATTACAAAATTTTTCTTCTGGCCTAAATTGTGGATTGTTTTAGAGGGCATTTGATGGGTTGCTGAGAATTGCCTTTACTTCTGTGGGTGGAATATTCTGTAGGTAACCATGAACCCCATTTGGCTCTACTACTTCTACATTGACTTTTCAGTCACATGGCCTGTGTGAAGATGAGAGTGTGCATTGGTGTCACTTCCAGTTGTACTATCAGGGTCCCTTGGGCATCTTATGTCTATTGTTGGTGCATGGATATTTACAATTGTTAGAGCTTCTTGATGATTTGTTCCACCAATTAATTTATGGTGATTTTCTTTATCTCTGCTAATTTTAGTTTGAAGTCTACTTGGTTAGATATAAGAACAGCTATTTCTATTTGCTTAATAGATTGACTTTTATCCTTGGGTTCTCAGCCTGAGGGTGTCTTTGCTTGTGAGGTATGTTTCTTGAAGACAAAAACCACTTGGGTCTTGCACTTTTGTCCAGTCAGCCAATCTGTATCTCTATTGTTATGTAGAGGACATTTACATTTCTGGCTATTGTTGAGATATTTTTGCTAATCTATGATTTTGTTGTTTTTCTGTTTGAATTATTTGTTGCTTTCTTTCTGCTAGTTTGCGGATGACTGTGTTGGGCTTGATGGGTTTTTTTTCTACCTCCCCTCCTTTCATTTATCCCTCTCATGAGATTTTTTTTCATGTTCTTGTAGCTGAACCTTTTTCCTTCTTCTTTATATAATATCCCTTTAAATATTCTGCAGTGTTGGTGTGTTTGTTTATCATGAACTGCCTTAGTTTATGCATGTTTTGAAATGTCCTTTCTCTGTCTGTTTTCAAAGATAGCCTTCTGGGTGCTGCAGTTTGGGCTGGCACAGCTTACTCAGAGCTTACATATGTCTCCCCATGTTTTCCTGGCTGCTATTCTGATGAGTTTGCCTTTGTAGGTGAGTTAGTGCTTTCCCAATGCAGCCTGAAATGTTGTTCTTTTTTAATTTTGACACCTTGACTGTGCTATCCTATGGAGAAGTTCTTCCTTGTTCAAGTCTGTTCAGGGTTCTGAATACCTCTTGTGGTTGAGCTTCCTACTAAAATGTCATTGAATAAACATCCTATGCCTTTAGTGTTTATCTCTGTACCTTCTTCATCCTGTGCGTTCTTAGGTCTGGTCTCTTGATCAGATCCGTAAGTTCTTGGGTGTTGGGTCATTCTCACTGTTTGTCGTCCCACCCACACTTTTTGTTTGAGTGTAGTATTTCTTTGACCTTGTCCTTCCTTCCTGATAGTCTTTCTTCTGCTTATTTGAGTCTATTGTCAATGTTTTCCACTATTATTTATTTGATTTATGTCTTTTTATTTCTGATGGTTCTAATTTTTTGATGTTTTCCCTTTCAAATCTGTTTCCTTGTTGAAGTTTTCTCTCTTGTTTTCCGCTTTTCATCCATATTGCTGATTTTATTGTGCATTTGGCTGACCTTTCCGTCTATATTGCTGACTTGAATTGAATTCATCTGTTTGCTTGTATCCCTTTCCAGGTCACTGGTGATTTTACTTTTGAACTTTTGAAATCTTCACCCAGCATTTAACCTACTTCAGTATCTTATCTTTAAATTGAGTCACTGAGGAGTTTGGTTCTTCTAAGGCAGTTCTTTTGCCTTGCTTCTGTCTTGTTTCTTGTGTTCCTGTATTGTGCTTTGTATATCTGTTGGTTTGACTGTCTTCCAGTTTTATTTGGGGATTCCCTTACTACTCAACAATCTACTCAAGAGGGCTGACTCCCCAGGACCACTCAGAAGAGAACAACCACAACACTGGTATCTGTGTGGGTGTACCTTCAAGACATCCTAAGTCTTAATCTCCCTTCTGGAGGGTAACACGAGTTTGTACAATCTAGAGCAGAGGAAAAATAGATGGCTCCCAAGGGTGATACCCTGGCCAGCTGACCTCAGGATGAGGAGCTGTCAAAGTCAGTGGTATTCTCAGTTATGAGTGTCTTAGTTGCTTTTCTGTCACTGTGATAAAATATCCTGACACCAGCAACTTAAGAGTGAGTGAGCTTATTTTGGCCTGTAGTCCCAAAGGGCTATAGTCCATCATGGCAGGGAAGCAGGAAGCTGGTGGTTGCATTGTATCTGCACTCAGAAAACAGAGAATGAGGATATAAAGCCTCAAGGCCTGCCCACCCCCATCCCTTCCTCTAGCAAGGCTCCACCTCCTAAGAGCTTCACAGTAGTCCCATACAATGCTACCAAGTGGAGGCAAAATACTCAAATACATGAGGTCATGAGGGGCTTTTCACATTCAAAACAATGCATCACCTGTCTTTTTCTATCACTGTCTTTGTGGATTCCCAATGTTCTCTCTTTCTTCATTAGGCATAGAGTCAGTTCTTCTTTACTCTGGTTCTCCTCTCTGATTGGCTTATTCTTAGGGGGAAGTGGAAAGAGAAGAAAAGGCTCCATGTTTGTGTCTGAGTTGTCTTCAGTTCCTATTGTAGTTTTCACTTCAGCGAATCACTAGGCGCGATTCTTGTATCTGTATGTTCCATCAGCCAAGCCTTTCAGAGTCCTTTGTGGCAGACTCTGTTCTGGTATGTAGATAGTAGCAGCTGTGGATGAGCCCACACTCAAGCTAAACTGCCCACTTCTGCCTCTGCTTTCTTAGATGATGTGTTTCTCTGCAGAAGGGATTTTAGCTTTCTTCAGTAAATATCATAATAATTATTCTAAAGACTTAGAAAAGTACCTATTTCAACTACATTATTTGATTTTTTTCAAGAGTATGAGTGTCATAGGATTAGGTCTAATTAGTCCCTAGAGAAAGTCTTGAGTAATACAGAGAGTTCGTACTCTCTAATTCTCCCAGGTTGCAAAAATAAAAACCCGAGTTCATCATCACGCTGACTTCTCAGGGTGTCGGTCCAGCTCTAACCCTGGCTGGCACTGTGGTTTAGGGTTTATCGCAGTATTTTAATCTTTTGGGCTCATTGTCAGTTATTATGTATGCTTGAAAGTTAAGAGAGCACTTGAACACATTTGCTGGAAACAAAGGAGCAGAAGTGTTTCCTTTGGGGTTTAAATAGATTTGAAAGATCAGTGCCAATACTGTCACTCCCTCTAATCCTGGTTTTTCATGTGCAAACCCTTATTTGACAGTTAGTCCTTCTTAAAATTAAATGGACTGTCTTCAGCCATGTTAACTTGTCATTTAAAATATTCAATGCCATCTAGTGGCCACTGAGGGAAATGCACTAATATGCCTGTGAATGATTACACTCCCTCTAATCCTGGTTTTTCATGTGCAAACCCTTATTTGACAGTTAGTCCTTCTTAAAATTAAATGGACTGTCTTCAGCCATGTTAACTTGTCATTTAAAATATTCAAAAGATATTTTTAGACTATGAGATCTGCCATTCATTTTTTCCCATTTGATGTTATTTTTAAATTCCCTGACGCTGAAAGTGTACTTGTTTCAGTGGCTTATTAAGCAATTTACTGATGTGTGTACATATATTGTTTTGTTTTATAAAGCCACTGCCAAAAGCTATGGTGTCTCGCCTCTGTGAATCTAAGAAGGTTTGTGCGGCCGCAGAAATGCAGCTTCAGGTATGTGTGCATGCCTCATGTTAACGTTTCCAGTTATTATCCCATATATACACATATCTTTCAATTCTTGCCAGCACTATACATTTATTACAATAATTATGCTTCTGAACACCTTTCATCTCAGTTCAAAGAACTTGGCCAGAGTTGACTCATGAAATTCTCACACTATCTGTGTGGAGTTCATGTGAAATATGAAATATGCTCATTTCCAGTTTTTTATCAAGGAAATCACCAAAGCCTCGCAGGGCTGCAAAACCAAGTTGGGGCTCAGACCCAACCATTTATATGGCTACTCATTTTCTGTCTTTCAAAACAAATTGTGGTCGTCTGTGTGAAGTTTAAACAGTAATTACCATTAGATTTAGGATAATATTTATAGACAATTTCCTGGGTTACCAGATGAAGACAGAAACATTTTATGAGCCATCTGGATGCCAGGTCTGTTACCAGATGTTCAGCTATTTGCAGTTACCGAGATTGTTTGTGGCGGTGTTCTGTCCTTACATCTTGTTACTTGTATCAACAGTGCCTGCACACTCGCCTTACATGTCAGCAGTGCCCTGTAGTGACCAGTTAACTCTTTCTGGTGGAAACCAACTTCCCACCAAAACCCCGAAATAACAAATCCAGTCCCTAGAAAGCAGTAAATGTGCTCTGTTTTTGTTGTATCTTGGTATGTTTTCCAGCTAGGGGTATAGTATAGTGCGAGGGTGTGCACAGGCCCTGGCTTCAGTCCCTGATTCTTCAGTGAGGAGGATAGTTATATAGACACAACCATGGATTTTCATTTGATTTACATTATTCAGTGGCCAAGAATGTGAATACAATTAAAAATGATTTAAAAAATGGTGTTACCTGGGGAAAGTCCTTTTATAACTTTGTTTTGATTTTGAGACATGGTTTCAGAAAATGTTCCCAGGCTGGCCTTGAATGTGATCCTCCTGCCTCAGCCTTTCAGTAATGAGGTCACATGCGTGTGCACCCTGGCACCGAAGCCTTTTGATTTGCTTTTACATGTCTCTTGGAGCTTTCTCTTTGAACATCTGTTTCAGTGGTTTTATTTTAAACCAGGAACTGATAAGCCTAGAGAGGGGAGCCATTCCTGACAATGCAGGTATTATATCCTGCTTCTAAACTGATGTTCTCAGACCAGCAGGTTGACAGGAGGGGGACTGTTTTGTGTTCTGAGGTGGTGTAGACCGTGTTTTAGGAAATGTGAAGCTCCTTTTGCCATGGACTGTTTAGCAAATGGGCTGAGTACTTTTATGTTGTGCTAAGGATTTGGGTTCCAGGAATGCATCTGCTGGATGAAAAGTGGATTAGTTGCTTTTTTTGTTGCTTTGATAAACACTGTGATCAAAGACAATTTAAGGAGGAGAGTTTATGCTAGCTTAAAGCTGCAGAGAGATAAGGTAGAGGAGCAGGCATGGTGGCAGGAGCAGGAAGCTGAGAGCTCACGTCTCAAACTGAAAGCACAAAGCTGAAAAAGTGAACTAGAAATGACATGGAGTCTTTAAATTCTCAAAACCCACTTCCAGTGACATAACTTCTTTCAACAAGGCCACACCTAACTCTCCCAGAACAATGCCATAAACTGGGGACCAAGTGTTTATAAAAGTCTACATTTGCATGTTTTTTTAACAGGCATAATTGAAGAAACAAAGCTCTTGAATTGTAACTTGTTTGTAGAGAGGACAGAAAGTGTGCCTCTTCGGTTCAGGGTAGAATTAAGTTTCAGTTCATAATCATTTGCTCCATCAGGTCTGGTTTCTTTGGCTATTGTTACCTATTGTTACCCATGACAGAACCGAGAGAGCTGTACTTAGCTGTATGTTTAGATTACCAGCTAAGAGAACATAATGTTTATATTCAGAAAATGTCTGTATTTTTCCAGGGAAGGCTTAACTTAGCTTTATAGTTCACAAGCGTAATTCTGTATGTAGGTGAAGCCAGTGGCCAGAGGTCGTTTGCATGTTGTCTTTTATCCAGACTAATCCTCACCTCTTTCGAGTCAGCAGCTGCACATTCCCTGCACATTCCATTTCTAAACCAGAAAGATGCACCTCAGCTGTAACTGCATGTCAGACTTTTTCTCTTTAAATAAAGCACTTAACTTTGTTACAAGGCAAATTCACACCATGTTAATACTCAAGCACTCGGGTCAGATGTCCTGGTGAAATCTTCCTTCCCTTTCCTTAGGTTTTCTACATAATACTTAGTACTCAGCACTCTCCCAACTGCAGGTTTGGTGCTTAAATTTCCTTGATGTTTCATTTCCACAGCTGCTTTCTCCTGTGTGTGTGTGGTGGGGGGTTCCTCCTCTCCAGGTCCCCTCTATTGCAGCTGCTTCCTTTGTTCTCCTGACACAGATATGAGGTCTGCTGTGGCCCTTGCTCCAAACCCTACAACAGCTGCATCAAGGTTTGTCACTTCTGTGTCAACACACATACTAGAATGCTTTTGACATCCTCTTCTACTCAGCTGTATCCACATAGTGAGCTTTCACCTCTGGATACAAAACTCTGATTCTGACCACTTCACACCTCTCATTTATGATCTACCAGGATCCAGGATGAAACCAAACAGGATTTGTTAGATACATGGGACCACAACCAATAATTCTCATCTTTTTAAAACATTTTTAACTGCATAATTCCAATTTTGTGACCACAAATTTAATGGTGAATAAGGTTGAAAATTGAACACCAACGTGTGTTATGGAAAGCTTCAGTGTACCCTTTAAGCTTTTGACTGGCCATATATGTGGTGTGGAGTATGTCTTAAATAGCACATGTTTATGTTTGTGAGTCTTTTCAGCTGTGATTCATAATTGCCATTCTGGTACACTTGCAACATCTTTGACTGACCACATCTTAAATACAGGATCAATTACCAAAGCTAAACAGAGGTTTCTTTCTGCCTAGGTCTTTTATGCCGCCCTGGATCAAATCTACCATGGCCAACATCCCCTGAGGAAGTCAACCACAGACATCCTCATGGAAACACAAGAGCAGTTTTATGGCTTGCCCTATGTTCCTGACACTGTGAGTCTGCATTTTAATCTGTCATGCTGTAGAATGGCTCTGCTTATTTCTCTAGGTTGTCATCATTATCCTTTAGAGGACTTGAGATTCCCTACATTTGTGTTGAGTTTGTTTTATATGGGCCAGATGCTAGGAACGTCCCGGCTCATCTAATGCTCCATGCATGGTTTTCTTTCTTCTCTCAGTGCTTATCAGATTCCTAGGAAAAAAGTGGGTGTTAGTCAATATTCTCTTTAGTTTTTTTCAAATTACATATAGATAATATATAATTTTGTATAATAAGACTGTGTATTTATACATATGATGTGACTCTAATAGTGTTCGTTGCAAAGAGAACTAACATTTATTGAATACCTTACATTGTACCAAGGGTTGTATATTCTTTATATCCTGTCTTACTTAGTGCCCTGTTGTACTAGAGGGCAGGAGTTTAGTTGTCGTTTCCAAGTTCTAGGTGCTTGACTTTACCTTACTGCTTTGGAGAAAGAACTCTAATTTCACTTTTTTTTTTTTTTTTTTTTTTTTTTTTTTTTTTGAGACAGGGTTTCTCTTTGTAACAGTCCTAGCTGTCTTGGAACTAGCTCTGGAGACCAGGCTGGCCTTGAACTCAGAGATCCGCCTGCCTCCTGAGTGCTGGGATTAAAGGTGTGCACCACCACTGCCCAGCACAAATTTCACTGTTAAATCAGCCTAATCTTTTACGTACTCTCCTCTCATCGGGGCTGGTATCGAGAGGTTATGACCAGGATTAGATAGTGATGTGTTGGGATTGAAAGCATTTGACCTGTACAATACTCCATGTAATTTCTGATTGTCTTAGAAGCAGAAAGTTCTAAAAATACAGAATGCTTCATGGGAGTGGGAGAGTTGACCCTGCCTCTCACCAGCTACAACACTTGAGAGAGTGAGCCATATACTTTACCTGGGCAGCACAACAGAGCTGACCCTGTTGATACGGGTGCAGGTGATCTGGCCCGGAGGGTTTGAGAGCAGCAGAGCTGACCCTGCTCCCCCATCTGCCATGTGGTGGCATGATTCAGGGAAAGATGCCCCTCACCCACCCCTTGCCACCTGTGGCAGGCAGGAGAACTGGCCTTGGGGTCATGAGAGTGGGAGCTGGTTCTACCCCTTAGGGCCTGCAGCACTGGGGAGAGCATGCCACACCACTCACCTGGGCTAAAAAGCAGAACTGGCTCTAGTGGTATGGGTGCAGGTGAGCTGGGCCTGAGGGCACGAGAGCAGGAGAACTGATTGCTGCCTGCTGCATTGGGTGAGCTAGCCAGGGCAGTGCTAGAGAGCTCACCCTTGTGGTGATGATGAGAGAAAGCTGCCAGGATGACCAACCCAGCTACCACCCAGGCCCAGAACCAGGGCTGTCTGTGAGTTAGTCCACCTCATCTGTGGACTGCTAGAATATGTGAAGGGGCCGGACCTGCAGATCCAAAGCTGTGGGGTTTCCGTAACACAAGGCAACAACAGGGTATCCAAGAGAAATCCCAGAGACGGTCCAGTATCAATGGTGTAGCAGAAGCCAGAGTCATCAAACCAGACCTATGACTCGTTGCAGTGAACACTTACAAGTAAAGATGTATGGACTTAAAAAAAAAATACAGAATGCTGACCACATTACCTCCTCCATGTATGTGTGCATATGCATATGTGGTGTCTTTGTATGTGCTAAGCATGAGCTCTACCATTGGGCTACACCCTGGCCTTAATTGACTAATTTTGATCTTCTATCATATGTTATTCTAATCTGTGTTCTGTTGAGCTCTTAGGCATACATGTTGGTGAATATTGGTAGGGATGAAAACAACCTCTTAGTTATGGAAGACATAATACAAAGAGTTTCCTAGGTTTTAATAGCTGTGACCTAATTTATAGACTTTAGGTCTTATGTGTGTGTGTGTTTATGCTTACGAGATTGTTTACTTAGCTCTTTAAAAAAATAATAATGCAAGTTGGGGCTGGAGCAATGGTTCAGTGGTTATGGTTATAAGCACTTGATGGTCTTTCAGAGGACCCAGGTCCAATTTTCAGCACTCACATGCAGGCTCACAGTCATCTGTAACTCCAGTTTCAGGGACCGTGATACCATCTTCTGGTTTCCACACTCCACCAACAATAAGCACACAGTATGCGCATGTGTTTGAGCATGTACACCCACACACACATGCAAAGCACTCAGACACAATGTAAAAATAATAAATCTTTATTCAAAACTAATGCAAGTTCAACTCCATGTAGATACAGCATAACCAATGAGGAGTGTGTGTCTGTGTCATGAATAAACCTAGACTAGGAGAGGACTGGACACTCTCCAAACCTACAGAACTTCAGTGTGCTTGAGCAAAATGTCTGCCACCTTTCCTTATCTCATGTCTTAGTTACTTTTCTATTGCTGTGATATAACAGCATGACCTAGGCAACTTTTGAAAGAAAACATTTAATTGAGATGACAGTTTCAGAGGGTTAGAGTCCATGATGGCAGAGTGAAGGAGCAGCTGAGGGCTCACATCTGGTCCACAGCCACAAGGCAGAGAGAGGGAGCACACTGGTGAACAGCACATGTTTTTTTTTAAAACCCCACAGCCCACCTGAAGCCCACACCTCCTAATCATTCCCAAACAGTTACACCAACTGAAGACCAAGTATTCAAATGTATGAGCCTGTAGAGGTCATTCTTATTCAAACTACCATGTCCTACTCCATAGACTTGTGGCCATGTCATAATGCAAAATGCATTTAGTTTCAAAAGCCTCCGGAGTCTTCCATTCTCAACAGTCTTTTCTGAGACTCAAGGAAATCTCTTAATTACAATTAAGGTTTCAACCTCTGTAAAATGAAAATGCAAATTACATACTTCCAAAATACAGTAGCACAGATTATATACCATACCAAAGGGAGGAAAGGCATAGTGAGGAAATACTGGACCAAAGCAAAACTGAAACCTGGCAGGGCACCACTGAATCCTGTAGCCCCATGTCTGATGTTAAAGGGTTTAGATGGCTCTGCCCTTCCAGCTGTGCACACTTCTCTCAGGCTGGTCCCACTCTTATATGCAGCTCTTCTTATCAGTGACATCTTGGAGGCTCCAGTGCAGTCTAGGCTTTACTGTCACAACTTCACGCAGTGACCTCTTAGGATCTCCATGCAGAATCCCTGGAATGTTAGCTGTGTGATATCTTTCCCTGAGGGGATCACTCCCTTATTCCATTTCTGATCAGGCCTTTCCTTTATCTACTCATCTCTTTTAACACAAGCCTGGACTCCAACATTAAATTTTCTACTGCTCTTTTAAACTGTACATTTTGTATATCTATTTTGCCCCACTTGTTTTTTTCTTATAGACCGACATAAGAGTAATTACTAACAGCCATGCAATGAGTCAATATTAGGCTTTTTAAAGATCTCCTCCATCAAGGAAATTAGTTCATTACTTTTCAGTTTAGCCTCAGGCAGATTATTTGGACAGGGGCAAAGAGCAGGTTATTTTGTCTAAATACTGTAAGAATGGTCTCCAGCCCAGTTGCTAATATTCTCTGAATCATCTTGAGCTATTTCTCAACAGTCCATACTGCTCTTAGCACAGTCATCTTCCAAGCTCCTGCTAGGCTGACCGGGTAAGCTCTGCTTATAATGTTAACTTCTTTCCTAGTCCAAAGTCCCAAAGTCTTCCATAACAAGGTCAGACCTGTCATAGCTCACTCTCTCTGCCTTAGTTCCCTCTACCATTGTAGTTATCTTCATGCAGTGGTTAAACAAACAAACAAAAAAACAAAACAAAACAAAAAACAAAAAAACTATGACCAGGCCAACTCATAAGAGAAAATGTTTAATTGGGTTTACATTTTCTGAGGGTTAGAGTCCATGATGATGGGGAATCCTAAAACAGACTCACATGCCTGGATTTATCAGTATGTACAGAAGAACATATAAATGCATGGTTTATAAAACAGCACCCATACCACATACAAAAGGTCTGAAAATCACATCTCTGTCTCTCACTATACATAAAACATTAAGCAAATTGGAGCCCAAATGTGGGAAGTATAAATGCAAAAGGATGTCATTCCCACAGCCTTTTTATTCTCATAGAATTGAACACCTCACATACAATTCAAAGGCATTAATGTAAAACAAAAGACTGGCAAATTTAACTACATTTAAATTGAAAAATAAAATAATGAGTTTAATATAAAGTAAGCCAGCTATTCTTTAACAAAAATGGAACCGGGTGGTGGTGGTGCACGCCTTTAATCCCAGCACTCGGGAGGCAGAAGCAGGCCAATCTCTGAGTTTGAGGTCAGCCTGGACTACAGAGCTAGTTCCAGGACAACCAGAGCTGTTACAGAGAGAAACCCTGTCTCGAAAAACAAACAACAAAAACAAAAAGGAAAACTAAAATGTAGAAATAGGTATTTCCATGTACTCCTTTCCTTTTTCCTTTCCCCCTTTTTATTGTAAAGAGCATAGAATTTGACATGCTAGGACAGATGTATTTTTAAAACACTTTGAAAGGACACAAGGTACAAGTAGTTAGTAAACCACATGAAACAACCTCCATGTTGATCAAAGAATGCTGACTAAAACCATATCCTGTTACCATTTTATTCTCCTCAGTTTGGTAAAAAGTATGCCAATTGAGAATACCAGCTTTGGAAGACTGTGGTGTCACAATGGCAGGAGTGCAGAGTGGTTTCCCCATTTGGAGGAAAGTTAGGCATTATTCCCTAACATTAGATGTGGGCAGTCCTGTGGCCAGCAGTCATCTCTTCCATTGAATGTAGACAACATGCTGTGTTTTCCCTGCTAGGGGTACTCTCAGTTCCAGGAACTAAAATCAGGAAAGTTCATAACAGGTTGTGAATGTTTTTGAAGAGAAGTTGAGTGGGGGGAAAGCCCAGGTAATTGTCAACAGAGAAATGAAAAGCACTGTACAGAAGGAGAAACTAGGGGTAGAGTTGCTGAACCCAGTAGTCATAAACTGCAGTCAAAAT